ATTTAAAGAAGAAACAATGATCTAACAATTCAGGACCTCCTATCAACAATAGCTTCACAGAATAAATGTTCAAATTTAAACTAAAATTGTAGTGCCGAGATGTGAAAATTATTAGACTCAAAAGGATATATCTGTGAAGTAATTAGTTTCGTTCACTTTGAAGCCCGATTGGGTAGTGCTACAACAGTACAGCTTTCAGGTACATTGTAGATGTAGATGTGGGAAACCTCGTGAATCAGCACCAATATAAAAAGTTCAAGATAGCCAAATGTTACCTTAGTTACAGCAGTGATTCTCTAAAGGATATTTTTATGTACGATAGAGAATCATACCATAACTCCAAGTTAATAAAAATGTCTGGGATAAATTCAAATTGAATGCATTGTTATAGTCTGAAAACAAACGGTATGTCAATCCTATAAAGTTGTGACTAATTGTGAAAGACAAATTGAAGATATTGTAAATTATTAACGGGGAATGACTAGTAGATCAGATTAACAAAACACATCCTAATGATGTAATGATTTTAAAAAATTATTCATTGTTTGATACTTATTTTATATTTTTTTAACCTGCTTAGGGGAAGATCAGGCCTAATGGCTTAAAGCTCGTCACTAATAAACACAATTTTTATTATTATTATTATTATTATTATTATTATTATTATTATTATTATTATTATTTTATCATTATTTCATTACTTTATTAATATTTTTTATTATTTTATTGTTATTATATTATTCTGATATTACTTACTATTATTATTTCCTCATTGTAATAAAATGTCTTATGATATTTACTTCGTAAATTTCTTCTAATTAATAAATCAATAGTTTGTTACTTGGTATATTGATTGCCGTTTAATATATTTTTTTTTCATATATGATCCCATTGTACTTGACAATCGCGATTAATAAATTAATTGTTTAGAAAACTAGTTAATTATCTGTGACTATAAGATAGAAATAATCAATATTCACACTGCAGTATTATACAGTTCAAAGTATTGGAGTATCAGAAAAAAAACTAGTCAACATTGAAAGTACTACGTAGTACATACGTATGAGCTACCAAGTTGTGCACGTTACTCCAATCAATTTGTTTGCTGTAAAGGTCTTCTCATTCACTCTGCACAAGATGTTTGGTTCGTCGAAGTGTATACGTGACCGAGTAATGGGAAACGTTTAAAATAAATATATAAATGCAGAAACTGAAGTTTCCAAGTTAGTATGGCCTATACAGAGTGGGTGCAATTCATACTAATGAAATGATAGGCTCTCTTCGTTGAAGCTCATCAAAATGCATAAGAGAACTGGGGATGCCTTAGGGTTGTGCACTTCGTAATTGAATTCTATAATTGATGCTCACCTCGCGTCTTGTAATCTTTCAAATCACGAAGTTTCCAGAAATAGCTCATGCTGAGGTGCTTCACCGCAACCACTATTCCTATTTTAAGGAATTTGACCGGAGGTCCCTAAGGCCCTTCGAGTGACTAAAGGAGTTGCGAAGGGACAAAGAAGGAGACAATGATGAATAAATGATGGCGCTCGGTACGTGGTTCCTTCGTTACGGTACTGCTCAGGCACTTCCTTGGTAGAGTTCGAATAACTACGGAAAACTACTTGTCATAGTTGCTGAATACTAGAATTCTCCTTCAGACAGCAGGAGAATGCGACGTTGCTGTCTAGCTGGTGCCAAAATTAACCATCACCGTGTTTTAAAACCTAGGACCTGTCGGTCAGAGATATTGCATTAGCAAGTTGTCGCCTCCTACTCTTTCAGCCGGTACCATTTTCTTTAGTTTTGTGTTTAGTTTTTCATACGCTGACACGATGTCACGTTGGCTAGCGATAGTTGCAGTCAGAGATGAGACCGAACCAATAGAACGGAAAGTGAAGAAAGGCCATGACAACGTGACAGCATCGACCCTATGCTCACTTCAACTACTAAATTGCGCCCCACAAAAACTACTGAATTGTACTGGCAGTTGACGATCCGATAGCATCAAATTCTAGATAGCGTATTCACATCGATACACATTTTTATTGCTTATGTAAACGTCTTAAAATTCGAAAACTCTTACCTCAAACTATAGGTAATAATGTTCAAAAATTCTAAAATTATGTATTTATTTCAGTTGATCAATTTTTTTTAGAATCGCCGATATGCAGAAAATTGTGTGATAGATATTTGCAAACAACATGAGTAGACGCGCGTGAAACGTGTATCAAATGCTGTACCTGACACGACCCTTGTTCATAACTCTAAACGACGGGTCCAAGGTCTACAAACTCCAATTTTAGAGCCCTGAGATCCCGAGTTACGTTTATTAGGTCTTAAAACACAGAATGAGACGATTTTGGACTTTCTATAATTTTGCTGGTATAGCTGTTTTAACTATTCACACTCCGTCCCGAAAATGCACTGAAATGGGTCGACTCTCTCAATGTAGGCAAAATTGAATTCGCTATTTGATATTCTGCGCAATTTTATTGCATTGATGTTTGCATTAGCGTCTTGCGTTCTTAACCCGTATTTAGCAATATAATGAAGTATACTCAGGCACAATACGATATGTATATAATTATCGTGGTTCGAAGAATGTTTAATATTGTGTTTTTATTATTGTATTGTTATGTAATTATTGTTTATTGCAACAAATTTCCAGAAGAAACTCATAAACGTTTCTTTTTATTCAGAACATCTTAATATCTATATGTGGTGCCATAACTTTGATCACATTTTAATAAAAAACGCCGGTGATTTCAAAATTGTTTGTGTTTGTATTTTACTCAAGAACCGTTTTATATGTAAATTTAAAAAAGACACCAAGAAAAATAGCATGCTTGCTTTCTTATGTGCATTTATTAAATTCATCAAACTCGACGATAAGTAGAATTTATAATTGAGGAATAGTGATAACCGAAAAGAGCAACAGTTTCTCTACGATGTGCATTTTAGAAGACGTAGTACTGTTTCAAGAGGATTTTTAATTTGGGAGCACACGACGAAAATAGAGTGTAAGTGGATAAAGGGAGTACAGAAGGAAGTTTAAGAAGGATGAGTAATTACGTTACTTCTTCTTTCGCAAATTACTCTAAGAGATGAAAAAGAAATTAAGCTAATATTTCTCCTTTGCAATTTTCCTTTGAAACTCCCAACTGTACTTTCATCTTCACAACCACTAACAGCCTGCACATACATTTGAATAACCAATTTAGCCGTCGCTGTATGTAGCTAAAGTGATTGCACATTTCAAAACATCTCTACGATGGTTTATTGCTTCTCAGTTATCAGCACGTATTTCTATGGACTAGTCTATTTCCGTTCCCCCATTGTGGTATCACACATTTTAAGTTTTCATCGTTAGTATTGATCGGTGATGACCCGACACTCGAAAATGGTAAACTCTGTAAATGGAGGGGAGTTTTTAATGGGGCACGATTTTCAGTGTCAACAGAGTACAGATACGAACCGAATGAAACAGTTATGTTCAATTCTGCAGAATTACTTCATTTTCTTTAAAAATATCCCTTGATGCATTAAATGTTGATAAATAACAAGTACAATATGATTTAAGTTTTTAGTATTAACGGAAAATTGTTATTCAGTCACAGGATTACTGTAACATTTAACAATTAACACTTTTTATTACTTCAATTGAATTAATTTCCAGTGGTTGTGCGATTTTTTACTCTCGTAAAATGTCTCGCTACTTCCAATTTCATGTAAATTTATTTTCTAAATGGATGTTTTGTAATGTCTGTGTTTAAAATTCCGATTAGAACTGTACAACAAACTTCATGTTTTGTCGCATAGTCTGAAACATACGTTGACTCATAGTCTGAAATGTGAATTTTTTTATATTTATTTGTTTCGTTCAGTATAATGTTTTTCCTTTTGTTTGTTGTTAGATTACTATTTCTCTGTATTTAATCTAAAACTGACTCTCAAACACATTGATTTAAACTATTTTTTTATCCATGATATGTGACCAGTGACAGCGACAATATTTACAATGATCATCCAGACTATTAAAACAATTCTTTTAGTTTTCTTAACGGACGCATTACTTAACGGACGCATTACATATGATGTTCATTTGCTAAAAAAGCGTAGCACTCCAAAGGACTCGAATATTTAAAAATGTATTAATAAAAATTCTAACAATGCCTCAATCATTGAATTTTATTAGTTATAATATAGAGAAAAAATATTGGTGAAGTACAGAATTGTGCTACGACGGTTCTTCGGTCACATTAATACATTAGAACTTAGTGAGATGTATGAAAAAAGACCAGGAAATTACAACACTAGTAAGAAAACTATAATAACGTACTCCTAAACGACTTGTAAAGATTTTAACGTAATGTTTTTACTATCGTTGATTAAAGTTATAGGATGAATGACAACTGCCTATTCACTTCGCATAAAGGCCTTGAAATTCATTTCAGAACGGAAATCAACTCAATAGATTTAAATTACATGGACTCAATGGATTCAATAGAGAAATAGAAAATAGTATAACGTAGAGATGATTAGCGCCGAAAGAGTATACTCTTGTGACAACTAGAGTAGGTACAAACAAAACAAGTTATTGTTACTTATTTTCATTTCACTCAACGCATACTAGTGGAATCAGAATCTCAAAACAATTACCTTCTGGAAACTGTTATTCATTGCTTACTATTTTTTCGCAAACATTTACATCTATCCTAATAATAAAATATCACGTCCAAGACCCTTAGGCCCATCAGGACTAGAACAACATTATAATATTCTTCAGATGACACATTCATCCGTCTCACTTTTTCATTGTAACAGGTGATCGAGTTTCAAATAGAACCATTGCCGTATCATAGTAGATGCATCGCATAGCACATATCGCCTTTAAGACGAGACGGTCAGTGAGGTTTTAACATACAAGAACTGAGAATTCCCTCATGCCCTAATGACAACTGCAAACATTCACGTTCTTCACGAGATTCGAACTTGCAGCTTTAGTGTAATGCTTTGGGCGCCCGTGCACCAACCACTGCGCCCCCAGACCGACTTCACAAGTGGAGGTAAACGGCCGTCTATGTCTAACTCTCCTGTAGCAGTGAGTTTCTTCCGAGCGTTCTCGGGCAGCAGGGAACACACTGTTACCCTTGCCTCGTTCTGCGTTCACGTCCTGGCTTTGTCCTCGCCCTCTTCGTCATCCACGCTCTGTTCCTTGGTTCGCCCCACATGGCCGCGCCCGCACTTGCAACTACTTTCTCCTTACCTTTCTCGACGCTCTCCTCGCCTCTATCAACTTATTGTCCTCTCCCTCTTCCTCCCTTTCACTCCCGCGGCCTCTCTCACCCTTCCCCCATCCTCTCACTTCACTGTTGTCTCTCTGCCTAAACTCGGTCTTGCTTTAGATGCCGATTTATTTGCCTTTTATATTGCACAATTTCTCTTCTCCCGTCTTTCCCACCTCTGAAGACATCTTCCTCCCCACACCTCTCTTCCCACCTCTCTACTCAATCTCACCCCTCTTTCCTCCTCTCTTTCCACATCCTTCTTCCCCCTCTCTTCCTACACCTCTCTTCCCACACCTATCTCCTCACAACGCTCTCTCCATTTATCCGTATTCCCACACCCTTTTCACTAAACCCCTCTCCACACATCCCTCTTCACACCTCTCTCCCCAAACACATCCCCCCACAACTATCTCCCCATACATTTCCCCCCACATCTCACTACCCACACACCTCTTCCCACACCCATCTCCACATCCTCTTTCTACATCCCTCTCTCTCTCTCACTGCACAAATCTTTTTCGTAACACCACACCTCCTCCCTCACACGTTACACAATCCTCTCCGAACATGTCCCGCCTTTCCCTTATTCTGGCCGTCAACCTCTCGTTCTCTACCATCTGCCACGCCCTCACAGAAGTTGACCCTCACCCCCCCCGTCCATTTTGTTGTCCCGCGCTTTCACCATCTCCAACCCAACGTCTCGGCCTCCAACCCCACCCCGCTCCCTCCCTACCCCCTCGCCCTGCGCCTCTCCCGCCCTCGATCCTTGTCTGCCCCCCTCCGTGACGCACACGTGTGGGACTCGCGCGCGCCGGCGGGCGGGGATTTGCCGGCGCTCGGGGCGGCGGCGGCGGCGCGGTCGCTCCGGAATTGCTCGGCCGCAGCCTTATCTGCGTTTTGCATTCGGCTCGTCGCGCGCGTAACTCGCAGCTCCATTTGCGTCGCAGATGTGTATCGGGAGAAAGATACCGCCAGGTCTTTGGGAGCGGCTTGCCTTCGGCTCACCCGCAGATTTAGTGGGCGCGGGCGAATTTAGTGGATTAGTTGCGCGCGGATGTATCTGCGCGGCCTGGTGGGAGCGCCGCGCACTAGTCATTCCTGAGGGTTTGTGGGGGACGTCGGTCGATTCGCCTCTGCGCTAGTGAAGTGAATATGATGGCGGTTTTTAACGGTATGGATTTAGAAATTGTCAAGTTGAATAAAACTCCTTATTTTATTTCTTAATGTGCAATCTATCTGTGAAAAAATACTTGTGCTAAAGTAGTAAAGAAGTCATGAATAAAAAGAAAGGGAGAGAAAAGGAAGAAGAATGAGAGGATGAAAAAGAATGTTCAGAAAATGGACAAGAACGGAGGGAAGAAAGTGGAGATAATGGTGAAGAAAGGGCAGTAAGGGAGTAGAAGGATGAGAAGTGTGAAAATAATGAATGGGAAAGAGGTGAAAATAGAAAGAAAAGAGGAAAAGGAAGTAAAGTGTTTTTTATGAGGACGAGGAATTGAAAATCAGGAAGAGAGGTGAAAATGAGGTGAAAGTGAGGGGGTGAAGAATAAGGAGAAAGTTAAAAATGAGAAGACGTATGAGGAAGAGGAGATGAAAAATGTGGAAGAGAAAAAGAAAAAAATGCTAGGGGAGATTAAGAATGTGGAATGTTAAAAGATGAAGAATGAGGAGGAGGATATAAATAACGAGGAGGTGATAAAGAATTGTATAAAAATAGAATAAGATAAATATAAATAATGTGTGTAGAAGTTTATAAAAAGGAGAGGAGAAGGGGTGTAGAAGAATGTCGAGAAGAACTGAGGAGAAGAGAAATGAGGAAGACGAAGCCGAAAATATTGTGGAAGAGAAGAAAAATGAAGAACAATGAGGATGCAGGTTTTAAGTGATAGAGAAGGAGCATAACGGGTCTAGAACCAATTTACCGTCAAATTGGATGACGTTTCTTATATACATATAGTAAAATTTTGCATTGTTATCAATTATTGTTGTTGACTCTCATTTGCACTGAGAGTTCAAGCGATCTTTTTCAGAGTGAAAAATGGTGATGTAACAGTGTTTAGTCAAATATCTGCAGAAGATCACGTGATAATGGCTGATGACGAAGACGATATAACTTATATGTTCTGAAAATTAGTATAAGAATATGGAAAATGGGGAGTGGAAATATGTGGACAAAATACTGAATATATGTTGGTGGTAAACCTCATGATTTAGAGACTAGTATAGGAATAGTTAAAGGTAATTCAGAACTTAATTATTTGGGGGTGACAGTATCAGCAGATGGTAGAGACGAGCAGGATGTGAAAAATAAAAATATAAGAGCAAAAATAGCCACTAGACAGTTGAACTCAATTAATACAATGAAGAGGAAGAAACGCCTATATAGCTCCTTCATAGAATGTACAATACTCTATGGGGCAAAAGTCTGGACACTAACAAATAATATGAGAGACAAACTTCAAGTAACAGAAATGATATTCTGGCGAAGATGATGTAAACTTTCTCTGTTAGAAAAAATAGAAAATGATGAAATAAAAAATAAAATAAATGCAAACAACGTTGAACGAGACGATCGAAATGAAACAACTAAAATGGAATGGACATACAATGAGAAAGTTGAAATCCGATAGACTTCCACAAAAAGTTAGGAAATGGATATCCAATCTAAGACGATACAGGGGAATACAGAGAAGGACATGGATCATAGCAATAACTGAAGCCATGGCAAAAAGGTAAATGGAGGAAAGAGACAAATGGGATAAAGAAGCATAGAAATTAGGATGCGGAAAACGACCAAGGCTGTAAAAAAACGCTAAAGGGAATTGATTGATAGATAGATAAATAGATAGATAGATAGATAGATAGATAGATAGATAGATAGATAGATAGATAGATAGATAGATAGATAATTGGTTAGATAGATAGATAAAAACTATTGTGGGCTGCATTGAAATTTGCGTTTCATATTACAAGACGTAATATGACTCTCGAATTAAAAAAAAAATAATAAAACCCGGCTTATTAGCGGTTTGTGGATAAATGTGGATAGAATGATTCATGGTTTAAGAGAATAACGTGAAAAAAATTAGACACAACCTGAACAATTATTGCCAAACACTTTATAAAACACAAAATTCCTTGAAAATAAAGTATCCATCTTATTACAGTGCTATGTACAATTTTCGGAAAGACTGTGGAAAGTTGCCACTATTGCAATAGTTGTTTGTTCCTACACTCGTAAACAAGAATTTATTTCTTATTTCATTTTGTTCTTGACGACATTTCTATGCCACAAGTCATTACAGGGATTTATGATCTTTTGGACGGAGGGTATTGGTAAATTTTTATGAACACAAAGTTTTGAAAGTATACTTCGAATGTTTTGAATTCCAACAAATTCCGGAGAGATCCGCACTCTAAAGCGAATACTATCTTTCTTAATGTTTCCTTTCAAAGAAAAAAGAAATGACATCATTTTGAAGAACGATGCAATGCATTTAAAGTACAGATATTACAGGGAAATTCTCTCGCGTCAGCCATAAAAAGGGAGATTATGGGATTTTCAGATAGACGAGTGCCTTCATATTTGTGAACCCAAGTGTCAAATATCACGTCTCACTCATCTCGACTGTTCTTGAAACACAAAGACCTTACGTGATGTGAGCAACACCTTTATTTACCACCTTTTTAAACATGGGGCAAACATTATTTTCAATGTGCACTTTTATAAGAGCAATAAAACGATTTCGGATAATTTCATTTATAACACCTGTTAAAGTGAACCTTAGAACCACCTATCCAATTGATGTTATCTGGGAGAAAAGTAATAACATTCGATTGATTTCATTCATTACAGAACATTTTCATTCTTAATTGTTTTTAGGTAGATAATCTTTCATTTCATGTTCAAACGAGGTCCAAGGGGAGAGATGTAAAATAATGAATGTGGTAAAAATATATTAAATGTGTAAAACATTCGAACGAATTTTTGGTTTAAATTAATCACATAGATAATTTTGCCCCAAAACAACTTTTTCGGTAAGAAGAAACAGCAAAACATGGAATCGGACAACACTACGAATTTGAAATTGTGCTCTTCCTCGCCTGCCAACCTTTAAACATTTTTTTCGAAATCGCCACCGGCATGCCAAGAGATTGCTATTAGGGATTCGTATTGCAGCTGTGATGACAGTTAAATGTGACGTCAGTTGGGTTGCCCGCGGCACCCAATGGCGATAAATGATACGAGTCGCTAGAGCCTGGTTCACACGACTGCCTCTGTTTACGGTGTGCGGAGCAGGCCTTGGACCACTCGAAATGAAAACGTTCTTCGTCTGTGTTGCCGCCCCATAGGCTAATTGACGTCCGCTAGGATAATTTGTGATGTGTATCATACAGATAACGCTGATAGGATGGCATTATTTGGTAGGATTATTTCAACTCCAAAATGATATAGTTTTAACACAAATGTATATGAGTGGAACGGTGTGTTCCGGAATAGGAGCTTGCAAATTAACTAGATTTCTTTAATAAGCCACCTGATAATACAATAAATTTTATTTTTAATTTTTAATTCTTGGGGCGTGAAGATCCTTTGCCAATCTATTGTGAAACTGTTTTGTGAAAAGGTTTCCCAGTTTTACGCCAACTTTTGAGTTGCATCGTTGTTCCAGAAAATCGGGCCTTTCAAAAATCAGCATTAGCACTTACACAACAATATCACAAGAACTAAACAAGACATCAAGAATCGAAGAACATGTGGATAGACAGCAGGTTATGAGCAACACATTGCTGTCAACTGGAAATCTCTAAATAACTGCTTTAACGAGAAATTAAAAAAAGTTCGGTAATTTTATGAATAGACTTCATGTGTCATTTTTAAAACAGTTTCAAGCTTTTGCAATGCCACATTCAACTAGTACTATCGTTCACGTAAACTACTCCCAGATCGTCTAAAAACGAAAGCGAAAGAACGTTTAAGCCTTGTGATTCTAATTTTAAAAAGGAATTCATGGAAGAAAAAGCATTTATGAAACTTGATTTATTTAATTCTACGAAAAAAGATTTATTTATAATATAACAATAATTGTTATAATAAAACCATTGGCTTCAGTTTCATGGATTGATATTTACTATGACAGAATAGGTTCTCTCAACTCCATCTTGAATCGACAAACCAACTTGCTACGTATGCTTTTGTAAAATCCACGAGCGAGGGAAAATTTAACTTATGTTGCGTCACGTGAACTCTAGCAGCTCCGTCCACGTACAAAAGTCATGAGTGACAAATAATGGCCTCTTTCTTCTTCAAAACGATAACCAAAAGAAACCGTACAGCTAGAAAGATTACAAATATATAATGTGAAATATTAGTCTTGTTTTCTTTATACGCAGTTCTACCAAGAGACCCTCCTCTACGAATTGGTTTTAAATATATTTCATATAAAAATAAATAACTTCCTAGATGTTACGACGGTATTTACGTAGAAAAATTAATGGCTAATTTTCTGTTTTACACATTTCAATGAACTGTGCAAAACTAGCAAGTTAGCCATTAAAACCTAATGGTGCTATAGAATAACACATACTCTGAAACGTTGGTTTAAAGTTTCAAAGTCTGTGCGTAGTTAGTTTGTACCTTCTTAGTTAGTTTCCTATTCTCCTGTATATACTAGCTTTTAAGTTTTGTTTCACCTTTTCCCAGCTGCCACTCATTGGGGCCTAAATACATTTTTTCACATTTCGTCAACTTTCCGTTTTCTTCATGGTAGACACTCACCTTATTTATAAGAAACTGTACTTCACATGTCAGGAAAAGGTCAAAATGAGAGAGAAAATAAAGAATTAAAAAAGTTACATCCTACTTCAAGAAAAGCCAATAACATATTTTTTCTCAGAGTTTA